CTCTACGCTTAGAAAACAAAATCAGCAAAGAACCCCAAAACCTGAACCAAGCCTTTGCCCCGTGGGCCAAAAGCAATAATGCTGGGGTGGTCAATTCAGTTTATAGGGTCCATGTAAGGAAGGAAATTAGGTCATGAAAAAGAAACAGGCCCTACTAAAACATCTTGGGGCAACATAGCTGGGTGAAATTCAGATCCCATGAGCCTCTCACAAGAAATTCCCATTCACTGGGAATAAGCATTATGGGCAAAGCAAACAGATAAAAACACATAAATTAAGGTGCCTGGATCTAAACAGCTAAGCTAACATAGATAACACAGTCAGTGGAGTCTGGAAGGCTGCTCAGCTTGTAGCCCTGGTATAACACTGCCAAAGCCTTGCCAGAGGCCCACTTAGACTAACACTGGCCTATACTCCACTGGACTATTCTCCCTAGTGAACAGCGATGGGACAAGAGGGGAGGGGTTCAAGTTGCGTCAGGGGAAGTTTAGATTGGATATTAGGAAAAACTTCTTCACCGAAAGGGTGGTGAAGCATTGGAATGGGTTGCCGAGGGAGCTGGTGGGGTCACCATCCCTGGACGTGTTTAAAAAACGGCTGGATGTGGCACTTCAGGAGACGGTTTAGTGTTAGGGTGGTGCAGGGCTGTGGGTTGGACTTGATGATCTTAAGGTCCTTTCCAACCTTTATGATTCTGTATAGGCCAATGAATTCTTCATCACTTGCCCTTACACACTGTAAATTCTTGCTTTTGCTGTGAGATGAAGCTGTGGGGAATCTTTGCTGATACACAGCATTCTGAGCACCTACCAGGAGTTTTCTGAAATGAGGCTGCTGTTGATATCGAAAACTTTGATGTGAAATTTGGATAGCTTTATATAAAACTAGGACACCTTTTGGAATACATATATATTTTAATAAGGCCTATTACCGACAGCCACGTGCATGGAGAAGCTAACGAGGATTAAGAAGCAAGTAGCTCAGTACTAACACCAGTAAAGACCGTAGCCTCCACTGCTGAGAAAAGAACCATCCATCAAGCTCCCGTCTCTTGTACTGAAGAGGAGAGGACCTGGCCTGGGGCTTGTTTGATATGGGGGAAAAAAACAGTGAGCATCTGTGTTAAACATTGATGTCAGGTATCAAGCTACTTACACTTCATAGGTTTGCTTTATTTGTATAGAATATATGCTCATTAAAGATTTCTTGTAACCGTGTCTGTCTGCTGTGTTTGTCCAGATCCCATAAAACAAACGGCTGCAACACTGATGACCGTACATAGCTGTTCACTTCAGGGCAAGTTTGGGCACTTTTATTAAGATACATAAATTTACATGCTAGTATTCAAGATGAATCTCACCTTAAATGTCTTATGTGAAGCAAAGTATCAGTGTGCATAATGACCTCTTCTCCTCATGAAATTTAATGAATAAAGATAGTTTTTCTATCAAATATCACTATTTAATATGAATCACTTACCTAATGTGCCAAAAAAGTCATTACCCAAGAAAGGAAATCCAGGTCTATTTGCGAGAACTATCATTCTAAAATCAGGATGAATAACTATTACATTTTCTCTCCCCTCTACATGAGAATGATCTGGAAAAGAAATAAAATGTATTAATTGCATATTTAAGCTTTGTGATTAGGAATGAATTAAATGAACATAATTAGATTAGAGGAATTCATGTTAATTCTAAGAATAATTTTTCTAATCTATTTATGTTCTTCTTAGAATTAGAAGAACAGTTACGAAAAAAGGCTCAATAGCTTATTTGCATGTGAGTGTTCTAGGTTCCCTTTTGAAGTTTCACAATTTGTTTCATGAAAATTTAACCAAAATGTTTCATTAAAAAAAAAACAACCATAAAAATGCATCCATTGTTCTTGGAGTGGGGACTGCCTGTCCTGTTTATATTGAATTTCACCAAAATGCTGAAGCCAATGGTGAATAAAATACGCTTTTATATGCATCTGACATCTGATCTGGGAATACAGGACTGATTTTTTTTCTTGGTTACTACAAAGTCTGCCAGAGACACATGATTTCACACATATGAAGTCTCTGTTTCTCCAAAATGAGTCAGACTGGCCGCACTTGCTCCCTTGCAGCATGTTTCCAGGGGCACGTGGTGTTTGGGAATCCTCTTTCACCTCCTCTAAAAAACTACAGTAAAAAATGAGACTGGCTAGAAAGCTATCTAAAAAAGCGCACACCTACAGGTCATAATGACAAGCAAATCTCAAATGTTGTGACATGTGAGTGCTAATGATTGCTCCAATCGCACACACTTAAACACTACTCCTAATATTTCTAAAAAGAAGATAATTATGTACAGTTTCTACTGACATCAAGAGGGCATTTCAAACATGGCCTTTCTCTGAAAAATAATGAAAAATATTTAGTTCCTGCCACTCACATGAATCAAATTCCATTACCTTACAAAATACTCTCATCATGCAGGATATTCTTAAACAATACAAGCATATGCAGTATTTGATTAGATGGAACTCTTAACAATTCAACCTTAGATATATTCCTATCTTAAGTTTTAGACCTGATCAAATTATACACCAACTGTCCAGTTGGGCATAAACAAGATCATAATTTGGTCACCTAGATCTTTATTTCTTATGGTGACTGAGAAGCAGACAGGTCAACTTACAGTTTGTTTGACGGGTTTGTGGGTTTATTTTTTTCCCCCATTTTTCAGCAAAATTCATGAGAACACTAATTTAAGAAATTTTCGTGGCTAGTGCAAACGCAATATAGAAAACAACTTAAAGGGTGGCAATTAAATTCTTTAATCGCTATCCTTTAAGCAGCAAGTACTTTTTCCACTTGGACTCTTTTGGGTCTCTACTTTGTAATATAACTGCTGAAAAGTAACAACGCATTACATGTTACCAGAAAATATCAAAATACTTTCCATCTACTTACTGGCAACAATTCGCCTTCCATCTGACAAGACCATTTCCCCACTTTCTACTAAAGTTTTTAAGATACAGGTAACATTTGTTGGTGCTTTGTCTGCCTCATCGATTACCAAAATATGTCCAAACTTCACCGCTTTTACCTAAAAGAAAAGAATCAAAATGTCACAACCCACCAAGAAAACTTGGAAGAAACCACATTATTGATTTCTCAGTTACTAGTAGTGACACCTTGGTGACACAGACAAAAAGGGAGTCAAAATGGGGATCAGCTATGACTGAACTGCAGCAGAGAGAATAGGAGGCAGGCAAGACAAGAAAGGTGAATATTTCTCTTTCTTCATGATAGGGATGGGAAGGGCTGTGCTGGGGAGAGAAGCAAGGAACATCACTCCAGAATGATCTGGAGGGCTAACAGAGAAGGGTGAAAGCGGTTTGCAACAGCTGCCTGGGGTCTAAGTTAGCAGATAGGTGTGAGATACCACAAAAGGAGGAAAATACCACTCTACCAGTTAGAATGTGTCAAGTTAATACTAAATTATTTTCCATGCTCATTTTCTCCACGCAGACTCCCAAGACTATCATCTCATTTGCATTTGGCACAGCAAGCGTGGCAAATGTGACCAAAGTAAATGAAATGTTACCACATTCACTATGCTAAGAAAGCAATCAAATCACAAAGAATTTTCTTACTTGAAAAGCCAGCATGTTTAACTACTTGTTTTAAATTAAAAACATTTCCAAATACACAAGCCAAATGTTACTACTGACCAGTGGTGAATCTTCATATATAATAAGACCGTCTTTAACTGAAGGTTGTAGGGTAAGGCTTTGTACAGTGGTATCCCTGAAATGTGGCAAACCAGACAGTATTAATTAAAAATACACAGGAATTTTAGTTACAATAAAATGCAAAATGAATAAATGAAAAACTGAAGGATCTCTTTTTCTAAAAGGAAAAAGTATCTATTTTTTTTAAGAATTCTCAAAGAACTTGAACCGAGAAAAATGCTGTGCCAGCTTAGCGGTCAAACAAGACTATCCGTGTTTCTGCCAGGGCTTTTGTGGTAGTTCTCATTTTCTCATAAACTCTGGAAATGAAAACACTGAAAAGTGAAACCGTATCTTTTGCATGTAGGCAAATTCTTACTGTTACTACTATTTCTAGTTAAGCATGCTTAAACTGTGATTTGCATGACAAACAGAGGTATCTCCCCAGAAGTGCCAAACAGGAATTTGTAGCATTACAATCAAATCATTACCGTTTTATTTGTTTTTCTCCACACACTGCCAGAAAAAAAAAAAAGAACAGAAAACAAAATCCCACAAAAATACTCATGTAATTCTAAATTAAATTTAGTTCTATCTGAAGTACATTAGATGGAATAATTTTTACTATCATTTGCTACATTTTGCACCAGGTACAGTGTAAGATCTTAGATGGGACAGATGCTTTAATAGCATGGTATTTCTTTTTGAAATTCCATTTGTGTTTCAACTGCTCAAATATGTGGGTTTTTTCTTCAAATTTAAAACAGTGTGAATAAAAATTCATAATGAGAATATTCCTCAATCTTCACTACTTTATTCTATTTCAACCACCACTAAAATGTACAGATAAATAAAGAAATATACAATAAAGATAAAGGTACAATAAAGATAAATAAATAAAAATGCACAATAAAGATAAATAAATAAAAATGTACAGATAAATAGAAACCAGTTGCAATTCAGAAAGGTCCAGCAAAGGACATCACTACCTTGGATTTATCTATACAAATTGGGTCCACAACCCAGAGAAAACTTCTGCTGATTGTATGAAATACTTGTCGAAAACATTGTCAAGATCTGTAAAACCAACCCCACTTACCTTGGGGTTCAGAGGGAACAGGAAGGTAAGGAACAAGCCAGAGGTGGGTGATGACAGAAATTTCCCATGATTTCTACAGTTTCATGGGCAATGGGATACACGATTCAATCTTAGGGCAGGTAGGCTATGCCATCCCTTTCACAGAATCACAGAATTGTTGAGGC